CTAATAAAAAAAAAATGGTGCCAGGTACCACAACAGCAACAGAACTTTGCTGTTTTCTGGATATTATTCTTTTTGTTTTGTTTTGTTTTGTTTGGAATGTGCTGAACGTCTATAATTTTGTTCAGATGACTGCAGAACCTGGAAAAGTTGTTGCTGCTATCAGTGCATAACATACTGCTATTATTAGTCTTTTTATATAAATATAAATGTATATGTACATATATATATAAATTGAATTTTGGGAAACTTTAACAGTGCTGCCAACTTTGGAAAAAGTCATCCCAATTTACTGTGTGAGTTGGCATTGTACAGAAATGGACAGCCATATTGGTCTAGAAATGTTAATTTTTTTATCTTTTTTTGTGTGTACAGGGATAACACATCGTACTAAATATGTAAGGTCACATCTATGTGGGTTTGATTACAGAAACTAATAAAGTATTCTCTAAATAATGAAAAAAAGAATAAGATAAGACTATAAGAGCAAGAAGCAATTTAAATATGTTCAGGGACCATTTTCATCTCCAGAATTAAGGATTATTTTAATGTTACATCATTGCCTTTTCTCTTTTACTTTCCTTTTTAGTTTTATTTTAGGATTCCCTATTTTTAATGTTCATACAGAGATTTCTTTAACTGAAATACCGAATAGTTTCTTTGGTGTGAAAAACTATAAAGTACACAGGATCCTAATGAGATAATTAATAATGTGAAATAGGAAGAAAAGGGCTAAAGGTGTAGGGAAAGTGGGAAGGGTGAGAGAAAGGTAATAAGGGAGAGGAAAAAACTATGAGAAACTGAAAAAATGGAAATAAAGTGTATGTAAATGGGGAGGGGAGGAGAGGGTGAAGGGAGGGCAAGGACCAGGGGAAAAAATGAGAATCAAGACCTATTATGTAAAGGTACAGAATCCCAATGATGAATGTAACTGTATTGTATACCTAGATTATACCAATAAACTCAATTAAAAGGAAAAAAAATTTTTTTAAATAAAAAAAGATTTAGAAGGTGGGTGAGGAGGTAGAACCCAGTGGTCAAGCACTTGATTAGCATGGACAGTCCCTGGGTTTGATCTTCAACACTGAAAAAAAAAAAGATTTAGGGGCTGGGGATTTAGCTCACTGGTGCTTCTGCCTGCCTCGCAAGCACAAGGTCCTGAGTTTGATCCCTGGTACCAGGAAAAAAAAAAAAAAGATTTAGGGGCTGGGGATTTAGCTCACTGGTGCTTCTGCCTGCCTCGCAAGCACAAGGTCCTGAGTTTGATCCCTGGTACCAGGAAAAAAAAAAAAAAGATTTGGAGAAGTTCATTTGCCAAAGTCCAGAAGACAAACTAAAGAATCCAGAATTTGCTGCACTGCAAAAGAAAGCACCAACGGAGCTTAGAGACAACCTACAATGTGGAAAAAAAATTTTATCACCTGGTCCTCACAAAAGGACTACTATCTAGAATATAAAAAGAACTTAAAGGGCCAGGGATTTACCTCAGTGGTTCTACCGCCTGCCTCACAAGTGCAAGGTCCTGAGTTCAATCCCCGGTACAAAAAAAAAAAAAAAAAAAACTTAAAAAATCAGGCCCCCAAATATAAAGATCCACTTCAAAAATGTGCATTTGAAATGAACAGACATTTCTCAGACAAAGAAGTAAAAGCAGCAAATAAAACATATGAAAAAATGTTCAATATCAATGATCATTCAAGAGACGCAGATGAAAACAACACTGAGATTCCACCTCACCCCAGAAAGAATGGCTGCTGTCAATAAATCAACCAATAACAAATGCTGGCAGGGCTGTGAGGAAAAAAGGAACCCTTCTCCATTGTTGGTGGGAGTGCACACTGGTGCAACCACTGTGAAAATTAATATGCAGATACCTCAAACAACTAACATTAGAAGTCCCATTTGACCCAACTATTCTTCTGCTAGGTATCTACCCAAAAGAATTAAAAGAATCATATCACAGTGATATATGTGCACCCATGTTTATAGTGGCACAGTTTGTAATAGCTAAAGCTTGGAAATAGCCCAAGTGCCCATCAACTGGAGACTGGATAAAGAAGATGTGGTTTTAGGGGCCAGGGATTTAGCTCAGTGGTTCCACCACCTGTCTCACAAGCACAAGGTCCTGAGTTGGATCCCTGGTACCAAAAAAAGATGTGATTTTTGTAATAAAATGGAGTACTACTCAGCCATGAAGAACCAAGAAACTAGAGACATTTATAGCTAAGTGGATGCACACTGAGGCCATACTCTTAAGTGAAATAAATAGGACACACATGTGGAAATACTAAATAGTTTCTCTGGTTTGAGAAACTGAAAGTATAAATAAGGATGCAAATGTATAACAGACAACATGAAACAAGAAGAAAAGGTGCCAAGGGGAAGTAGGAGAGGTATAGGTAGAGGAAAGGAAAAAGGAGAATTAAATGAATATGAGAAAATGAAAAAATGGAAACAAAGTCTTTGTAAATAGGGAGGAGGGAGAGCAGAGGAATGGGGGAAAAAATAAGAGCCAAGATACATCATGTAAAGGTAAAGTTCCCAATGATGAATATAACTGTATTGTATACCTAAAATGTACCAATAAGCTTAATGGAAGAAAAAAGAAAAGAATAGCTGGGCGTGGTGGCACATGCCTATAATCCCAGCACTTAGGAGGCTGAGGCAGGAGGATCACTGTGAGTTCGAGACCAGCCTGGGCTACACAGTGAGTTCCAGGGCAGTCTCTACTACATAGTGAGACCCTGTCTCAAAAAAACTAAAAAAAAAAAAAGAATCCAGAATTTGTTCATCTGTCTCAAAATCCAAAGGCATTGCTGGGTGTGGTGCCATGTCTGCCTCGAAAGTGAAAGGTCCTGATTTCAATACCAAAAACTGAAAAAAAAATTTTTTTTTTTCCACTGTATATTTTTTTTTGGTACTGGGGATCGAACTCGGGTCCCTGCACTTGCAAGGCAGGTAGCAGAACCACTGAGCTAAATCCCCAGCCCTCTTTCACTGTATATTTTAATCACCCCTCATAGTGCAATGTGTAAATAGAGAAACAAATTGTAGCATATCTGCAAAGTGGAATACACTCAGTGACAAAGCAGAACAAAGTACTGACACATCCAACCTAAGTGAATCTCCAAGGCCCTAGCTAAGTGAAAGAAGCCAGTCTCACCAGGCCTGGTGGTGCACTCCCATAATCCCAGCCCTCCAGAGCCTGAGGCAGGAGGATCACCATGAATTTGAGGCCAGCCTGGGATAAACAGTGAGTTCAAGGACAGCCTGCACTACTTGGTGAGACACTGCCTCAAAAAAAAAAAAAAAGAAGCAGCAGCTAGGGCCAGGGATTTAGCTCAGTGGTGCTGCCACCTGCCTTGCAAGTGCAAGGTCCCAAGTTTGATCCCCGGGAAAGAAAGAAGAAAGAAAGGAAGAAAGAAAGAAGCCAGTCTCAAAAGGTTAGCCTTAGTTAACCTAGAATAATTCCACAAATATAAAATTCTCAGGAAGACAAAAGAAGAGGTCAGTGACCACCACTGGGGTAGGGGTAGGGAGAGTGACCTTGAAGGTGTGTGCAACAGTTACAGAAGTGTACATGTATATTAGAACTCATAGAAATATACACCCAAGAGGCCAATTTTATTATAACTCTGAAGATAGAATTTTTTAATTTTTTAATTCTTTTTTTTTTGGTACCAGGGACTGAGCTTAGGACCTTGCATGTGTGAGGCAGGTACAGCACCACTGAGCTAAATCCTGACCCTAATTTTTAATTCTTCAGGGGATAATTGGTAAACTAAATAAGGATTTTCAAAAGCTACAACCTTTGGGCCAGAGATTTAGCTCAGTGGCACTGCGCCTGCCTTTTGCAAGCAAGAGTACTTGAGTTCAATCCCGAGTACTTGAGTTCAATCCCTCATACTTGAAAAAAAATTACAACTTTAACTCTAATTATCAAATTTTAGATGCTTTTTTTTCCCCCAGTACCAGGAATCAAACTCAGGACTTTGAGCTTGCCAGGCAGGCATAGCACCGCTGAGCTACATCCCCAGCCCAGATACTTTTATTGTTTCTGTATGTCTGTACTTTTTACATTTTCCGTTATTTTTTTCTTTTGAGACAGGGTCTCACTATTGTAGTTTAGGCTGTCCTCGAACTCACTATGTAGTCCAGGCTGGCCTCAAACATGAGGCAATCACCCTAACTACCTCAATCTCCCAAGTGCTGGGAATGCAGGTGTGCTCACCATGCCTGGCTCCTATATTTTCTATAATAAATATTACTTTCATAAATTTTTAAAGCAATAAGCTTTCTTTTTAATCAACTGAAATTATATCCAAAAGAGGTTTCAAAACTTGTTTTCTAATCTGGATTGTCTGGTATTATCACAGCATTTCATTATTATACAAGTCATTATTATGACTTATTATTAATTATTATTGTTATTATTAATTCTATTATTATTAATTCTACTCCTGAATTCATCTTAGTTTGTTTTTTGTTGTTGTTGTTGTTGTTGTTTTGGTTTTTTGAAACAGGGTCGCACCATGAGTTGAGACTGACCTGGAACTCACTATGTAGCCCAGGCTGGTCTTGAAGTCACAGCGATCCTCCTGCCTCAGCCTCCCAAGTGCTGGGATTACAGGCATGTGCCATGAATTCATCTCTTAGTCACAACCCGAATGCTCTCAGGCCCTAACTGTCTGAAGACAGAACATCCACAGGTGGTGGCATCTCCCCAACATTGCCACCAAGAAGAATGGAACACCAGTGTATCACACAAGCCTGCGTCTTGGCATTTTTAGGGTACTATACAGTATTTATTGTTTACCTACTATACAGAAACTCGGGGGCAGCTATGTCTATATGTAGTTTTTTTTCACTTCAGTACAATAAGAAGCCACCTAAAGGTGTTACCTTTCATGGTGGGAGAAAAGGTTTATATCTCCTTACTGAGTGATGAACCACTTTTTAAATATTTGACTCTGTTTAGACTTTTTGCTTTGTTTACACCTTACCTTGGAGCACTTCTCTAGGACTTTCTCCTGGAATTTCAGGAATCCTTCCTGAACCTCAGCTTCATTAAGGAAAAAAGAAAGGAAGTGGGTAAAGGGCTGCTTTCTTCTAAAAGTGTCCAAGAGAACATCAATCCGAGTTCGGGCCGAAATGACACCATTTCGATGGTGGCCAGTGATGACTGCAAACAAAGAAAAAAGGCTTAACGTGCTATGGAAATGTTTGCCAGATCCTTAAAACTTTCAGCACAGAATTACTACATGATCCAGTAGTTCCACTCTAAGGATGTAAAATAAATTTTTTTTAAAAAAGTGTGTTTCTAAAAAAATGTGTTTCTAAAAATGTGTAGCCAGACAAGTGTGGTGGTACATGCCTATAAGCCCAGCACTTGGGAGGCTGAGGCAGGAGGATTGCCATGGGTTGAAGGTCATGCATGAGTTGAAGGTCAGTGAGCACAAGGCCAGTGTGAACCACATAACAAGACCCTGTCTCAAAAATGTGGGGAACCTGGCCATGAATAAGTGATTAAGCCAAATGATTAAACTGTGGGACAAAAGCATAGGCTTTATGAGGAGTAAATGATTAAAATATAGGGCAAAAGCATATAAACAATTAAACTGTGGAGCAAAAAGCACACAGGCTGTGTGAGAAATGAATGCTCAAACTACAGGACAAAAGCAGACAGGCTGTGTGAGAACTGAGTAAACAAGAAGTTTAGATTAGTGAGGCATGTTGTGTCTGGCCAGGATCTTCCCCTTTCCCAAAAAAAGCTGCCCAGCCTTGAGACAGCTCCTGGCCCAAGGGAGACTGCTTTTTCTCCTGCTTTCTTCTCTTATAGAGATTCTAAATAAAAGCCAGAGAGTTCATAGCTTGGTGGCTTTTTCTTCTCCCAGAGTCTTCCTAACAGCTGAGTGCTCTCAGTGGAGAAACAGTCCTTGGTGACTAAACTAAGTCTTGCCTCCAGGTAATCTTTTCATCCTACACACCACCCACGGTCCCATACAGTGACAAAATACCAAAAAAACAAAAACAAAGCTAATCAAATAATAACTAAAGAGCAAATATGATGAGGTTAAAAATATTCCAGGCCAGGGATTTAGCTTAGTGGTGCCACTGCCTGCCTTTGAAGCACAAGGTCCCAAGATCAATCCCCAGTACGAAAAAAAAGAAAGAGAAAGAAAAGAAAGAAAAGAAAGAAAGAAAGAAATTCCACAGCCATAATTTATAATACCTAAATCTTGGAAACAGCCCAAATGCCCATCAACTGACAAATGGATAAAGAAGATGTGGGGTTTTTTTTTTACAATAGAGTACTACTGTCATAAAAAATGACGATCTTGAGCTATTTATACCTGCATGAACACACTTTGATACCATACTCTTAAATGAAATAAATCAAACACACATGTTTAAATACTGCATTATTTCTCTGGTGTGAGAAAACAAAAGTGGAAATAAGGACTACAGTGTACAACAGACATTGGGAAATGAGAAGAAAATGTTCAAATGAGAAGGCAAACAAGGGAGGGGGAAAGGAAAAGGAAAGAAGGGACAAAAGAGAAAATGGAAGAAACAAAGCTTTTGTACATAAGGCGGGGTGGGGAAAAAACAAGAAGCAAAGTATATCATGTACTGGTACAAACTCCAAAATGAATGCTATCATTATGTATATTTTAAATGTACCAATAAATGTTTTGCTAAAAAAAAAAAAAATTCCACAGCCAGGTGTGGTGGTGCACACCTACGGTCCCAGTGCTAAGGCAAGAGGATGCCACAAGTTCAAGGCCAGCCTGGGTACATAGTGAGTTCAAGGCTAGCCTGAATTACATAGTGAGACCTTGTCTCAAAAATAAAAACAAATGGGGAAGGGAGAGGGCTTAAGGGGAGGAATAAGATTTTTAAAAAATGTAAGTTTTTTAAAATAAAAACATGGGGAAAGGGATTTAGCTCAATGGTGCCAATGCCTGCCTCACAAGCACAAGGTCCCAAGTTCTATTCCAGAGTACTAATAAAATAAAATAATAAAATAAAATAAAAATCCACAATTACAAATACCTAAAGGGACCAGAATTTATGTGACATCGGTTTAAGGACTAGGACAGGAAACATACAGGGGAAAATAATACAAGGTATTTATTTTTTTCTTTTTCAGTGCTGGTGATGGAACCCAGGATCTCTCACAAGCCAGGCAAGTGCTCTCCCACAGAGCTGCAGCCCAGCCCTATGTTCAATTTTTTAAAAATTCCTGGTCAAAAAAAAGGATTTTACCAAGTTTCCCAGCCTGGGCTCAAACTTGCAATTCTCCTGCCTCAGGATTGAAGCAACCCTACCATCACCATCCTGGTCTGAGCAGAGACTGCTTTAAACCTCTTCCCCTGCTATGCTTGTATACCCGCTAAAAGTGTCTAACCGTGCTTTGGTAAGGCCCAGGGAGCACAACTACAATCCCTAACTCCCATCATTATTCAGCCCTGTGCTTGACAAGTAACAGCAACTCCATGTGCGTTCTCAAGCCTTGCTCCCTAGCAGGCACCCACAAGACCTTTCCACTGAACTCTCCTCCTTGAAAGTCCCATTTTGCACCTGCCTGGCCAGCATGAGACCCTGAGTTCAATTCCTGATACCGGAAAAAGAAGTCCCATTTTGATCTTTTCCCGACGCAAACACCACCACCCCACCCACCACCCACACCTGCTGCCACCATTATGCTCATGGCCGTATAAAAGACGGTATAGCCTGGGCTGGGGATTTAGCTCAGTGGTTATGCTGCCTGCCCCACAAGCACAAGGTCCCAAGTTCGATCCCCAGTACCCTCTCAAAAAAAGATGGTATAGCCTGAATGAGAGTTAGCTGGTCTGGTCTCTAGTGCCACAGCAGTGCTTCTCTGGTTTGTTCTGCAATAAACCTATCCTGTTGAGCTCATACTTCTGTTTTCCTTTTTCCTAACAAAACTCCCAGAGAGGTCTGAGGTGTGCCATCACACATGACTGGTAAATTACATTTTAAAGCTTAAGGAAAAACTCAAAATTAGCACTTATAATTCTAATGAACCAAATACTGACTAAAAGTCCTTCTAAAAAGATGCTAAAAGTTCTTCTGTGAGAGTTTGCGGAACTCCCAAATGGATAAGGAAACTCCAGCACTGCACTGTCCAATGTGGGGGCTACATGCAGCAAGTTAAGTGAAATAAAATTAAATAAAACTGAAACTTCCGGTTCTTGGTCACACTGGCCATGTTTTAAGGATCGTACATGTGGCTGCCAGTGCAGTATGGGACATTCTGGGCAACACAGACAGTTCTTTTGGACAGTCCTGTTCTAAAGTCATGGCTACTGAGCTAGAAAGGTGATCATTCATATAATCACAAAATAAAAAGAGTACTTGTACAGGAGCCAAGTAAACCTCTCATTCATTAAAAAAAAAAAAAGTACTTGTAATTTTTTCTGCCAAGATGTAGGGGTGTTGGTGGGCAGCGGATTCCTGGTGGACAGGCATGGTGATCCAGGCCTAACATGTGCCTAGCTACTCAGTAGGCGAAGGCAGAAGAGCACTTGAGCCCAGGAGTTTGAGACCGAAGAAGAAGAAAAAAAAAGAAAAGAAATCATTGGAAGCTGCTGCTCTGAAGAAGTCCTATCATTTTAGAATGCATTTTAAAATTGTCCCCACAGTGCCCCTCGCTCATTTTGAAACTAAAGTCTGTGTCTCTGGTTCACAGTGACACCTAGTTACAGACACTCTGTGGCTTGATTTATATCACCAAAGTGTTCTTCCTCCTCTGAGCAGTTATTTGAATCAGATTCTGTTATTATTACCATTATTTAATCATATCACTCTATCTTATGTAGTCTTACCTTAATCTTATCATTTTCTTGCTGGCCTAACACAGCAAGAGCAAAAATCTTAGAGAACACACATCAAAAGGGCTGAACATTGTTTCCTATTTCCAGATCTAATTGATTTTTTCTGGTTCCTCCTTAAAACAATACATAAACAGCATTTGAAGCTGCCAAAGCATAAAAGATCTAATACACAAGGAAGTCTGGATGTTTCACCCTATCGATAATATAGTAAAGTTAAGCATCTGGTAAAGTCAAAATCAGGCCCAGGTACAAAGTCAAAGACAGGTTGTGTACATCTGTGCTTATTTGGGAGACTGACACCAGTGACACGGTGGTAATGTATACAGGTAGTCGCAGCACTCTGGGAGACTGAGGCAGGAAGATTGTAAGTGCAAGCCCAGCATGGCCACTTAGAAACTTAGTCTCTATCTTTGCACCTCAGTGCCAAGGCCCCAGGAGTACTGAAAAAGAGGAAAAAGGCCAACAGCTACTGAGTTGCAGAGAATAAAGTCATTAAATGACTCAGCTGAGCTACCTTGCTCCATTTGCGTGCAAACATAACTTTTTTTTTTTTTTTTTTTGGTACCAGGGATTGAACTGAGGACCCTGTACTTGAGAAACAGGCAGCAGAACCACTGAGCTAAATCCCCAGCCCACAAACATAACTTATATAGACTGATTCTCACCAATTTCTCCATCTTGTCCAGGCTTAGGAATCGTAATAGAAGTTTTGGTTTCCATTTCTATTTTCTTCTTAGTATCCCCTCTCTTTCCAACTATATGCCTATAAATATGAAGAAAAACTATTAACAGGAGATTAAGTCAAAATATTCCAAAACAAAGAATTCCACCATGTTTTAACTCCTTTGTGGATAGAGATCCTACCTTACAGAAAAGCGCTTCAGTAGAAGTTCACTCTTAGTAGAGAAAACCCTAACTATCCAGCTCTATAGAACACCCTGCATTATATTCACTTGCAAAATGACACCCTATTACTAATTCAATACATACATAGAATGACCAGGCCCAAGTCCTGTTTGCCTCTCAAACTCAGATTCAAAATCTGGACCTGTAGTGCAGTGAAAAGACATCTATTCTAGCACACTCTCAAAGAGCATTTCCAGCAACAGACGGGACCACAGTTTGAGGCAGGAGAACCTGGTACATTCTGGAGCACAAATTAACCATATTATGAGTTTATCCTAAAAGAAAGATCCTTGATTGACAAAGGTAAATAGGTTAGCAGAGCGCGGAGCACATCATTCAGGATAGGTTCAAAAGCAGAGAAAATAAACCCTCAAGGTGAATTATACGCACACTTTTTTTAGTGGGGGAGATTCACCAAAATATAGATATATGTGCAGGTTCTTGAGAAAAACTAGAAGATCTGTTTCATGGTAATGATAGGCTGGAGCCAACCCTCAAGTACCTGAAGATGAGAAATGAGTTCATCACAATTCTTCCTGCTACCTTTCATCTACCCCACTCGTTATTAACTCATGTAGCTTAGCTGCCTGGGCCTCCTAGTATACATAATTGTGACACTCCAGTCATCTTCTGGAACAGACAGTAATTACACGTGTCAAAGTGTCAAAGTGAACAAGTCTATGAAACACTAAGAGACCATCAGAGGAATATAAAATTAAGAACACCATCATCAACATTATTTCAACTTCTATGGTTTCAATTACACACCCATTACCATGGGTGATTATGTCTAAAACTATTCTTTTATGGGGTGGGGAATTGAACCTGGGGCCTTACACGTGCCAAGCATGCACTCTATCACTGAGCTACACAGCCCTTATTCACTTGTTTTCACACAAGATAACCAAGCCTAACTATTTCCATTAAGATCTACTGTAATAAGCCAGTTTTTTTTTAAACTTAGACTTTAGGCTAGGACTATAGCTCAGCAGTAAAGCTCTTTCCAGCATTTACAAGGCCCTGGATTCAATCCCCTGCACCACAAAAAACAAAACAGAGCTGGCTATGGTGGCATACACCTGCAATCCCAGCATTTGGGGGTGGGGTAGGAAGATCACCTTGACTACAATAAGTTCAAGGCCAGCCTCAACTTGTAGAAGACCCAGTCTCAAACAAACAAAAATGTTTAAAAATTATGTTTAGGAGAGTATCGGAACGCTACAATTTCCACATGCTTTTCCTCTGTGTTGGGCTAGAGAGTACACAGCACCAGTCTGTCAGGCCTTTGCCTCCCAGGCCTTACCAGTTAGGAGAGCTTTTAATCAGCTCCTGATTGCTGGTAGGCATCTAGTGGACAAGCTTACCACAAAAAGCAGCTAGCTCAAAGTGTCAGTCATAATCTAGGCTCCAGCACCTTAGAAAGCAAAGCAACTGAGGCTTTATAATCCAACAAACCTTGGGCAAGTCATCTAGCCACTCTAGGCCTATTTCCTCACTTGTGCTTAGCATGCACAGGTCTGGGTTCAGTCTCTAGCAACAAGATGATAATGACGAGGATGATGACAATTATGATGGAGGAGGAGGAAGCAAGAATGATACCTACATTATCACAAAGCTCTTGCAAGGATTAAATGTAATCATATATGGAAGAGCTTCCCAGGGACTGGCTCAAAGTGTCATTTACTCCATGCTATCCTTCTTGAGTCCAAGGTAAAAGCACAGCCAGACTCAGAAGACGTTTACATGGACAGTCTAAAATATTCACAACACTAATACAGGCAAGCAGTGAAAGGGAAACTCCTTGGTTAAATATATGATGGAGGGCCGGGGACTTAGCTTAGTGGTTCTACTGCCTGCCTCGCAAGTGCAAGGACCCAAGTTCAATTTCCAGTAACAAAAAACAAAAACAACAAGTATGCTTGGAAATTCCTACCAATCAAGTGCTTTTCCATCTTGACTATACAATGGAATCACACAGGTGGCCTCAAAAATGAATGGTGCCCAGGTCTTGCTCTCAGAGAGTTTGATTTCATTGGTCTGGAGCACACACAGGCATCGGGATTTTTTTTGAAAGCCCCCAGGGAATCTTTATATGAATCTGAAGCCAGAACCCATAACAGTGGGTATCTTCCAGGGACAGGTGTTATTATTATTAGGCTTTGATTATAGATGAGTTTGTCAAGACAATTTCTTTCTTGACCCAAATAATCCTACAGAAATGATTCAGAAGAAATCTTCCTAGTAAATACTGTCTACTAATTAGAATTTGGCAGAGCCAAAATCTAATCTAACATACAAATCATCTGGTACATAATGAGTATTTAGCACATATAGAATTTGAAATATCAGCAAGTTAGAATCAGACATCTAAGGAATTTCTATACACTAGTAAACAATATATAAATTAAGACATATTATATTGATTTTTTTTTTTTAAAGAAACTGGGCCATGACTTTCTAAAACCATGTTTCTTAGGGGAAGATGTCACCAGGGCCTGAGGGGAAAGTATGTCATTAGGTTAGTTCTAGTTTCCCATTTGCTCACTTTCCAGGAGAAATTTCATCCTTAAAGGTACTTCAGAACATTCTCAAGGTTAATGAAAACAAAACCACTTGCCTCATGGAACTTGGATGCACATGATTTCCTATTTGTAGATTTCCCTCCCAAAATAGACCTAATGCATCCTATGTAACACAGAGACACAATAATATAATTTGTAGACTTCCAGAACTAGCTAATGTTTAGAAATAAAAGCCCCAAAGAAGCCAGCTAGCCACTGTCTTAGCCACTTTCTTTGTTGCTAAGCCACAATGCCCAACGCAACATAAAGGAAGAGAGGTTTATTTTGGCTCTCATTTTAGAAATTTAGCACTTGTGGGCTGGGGATTTAGTTCAGTGGTGCCACCGCCAGCCTTGCAAGTGCATGGTCCTGAGTTCAATCCGTGGTACCAAAAAAAGAGGAAGTTTAGAACTTGTGTGGGTCCCTAACCGCTAAGTAACCCCCAGTTAGCCAGCACATAGCAGCACACATTTCTTTCTACCCAGCTCCAAAATAAGACTAAAACAGAGTGTATGGAAGCCTGGTACGGGTAAACAAGATAGCGACTCAAGACCTCGTTAGAACAGAACAGCCTGAGGTCTGCAGATGAAAGGCCAGGTGCACTGTATAGCTGACTCCTTTAGAAAGATGGCAGAAAACCGACCCCCTGACCCCTGGCCCACTTGCTGTGCTTGCAATCCTCTTCCCTTGCCTTTAAAAAACTGTGCTAAGCCCTGTGCTGGGCCTCTCTGAGCTGCTCAGTTCTGAGAGTGCCGTCTGGCCAGACTAATAAAGGTCTATTTACCAACGAGCCTGTGTGCTCCTTCCTGGGTGACTCTCGCTGCTCGTCGAGCTCCCAGAGCCTCGCGGATGCCTCCAGCGTCTTGGAGGCCCTTTGGGCTGTTCAAGGCTCCCGGAAGTAAGGCCCTGGGTCTTGCATCCGGAGCCATCGTTGGGCTGTAGGACTCAGCATTGTGAAGGCCCTTTTGGCTGTTCATGCTCCTCAGAGTGGAAGTGAGACTTTAGGTCTTACACTTGCATGGTTGTGGGCATGGTGGAAAGCCCTGGGGAGAGGAGCCTGGGCCATGTTCATGTCGTGCCATCCAGAAAGCAGAGAGTGAATGAAGGGGAAGTTAGGGAAGGTGGGAGACACTTCCAGGCCGAGCTCCCAGAGAGCCAGCTCTTCCAATCAGGCCCCAATTCCTAACAGCACCTTTACTCCCATAAACCAGTCACTTCCCAAAAGCCCCACCTATGATCCCCAAGGCTCTGGGGGGACAGCTAGCTATAAATCGTAACAGCCACATAAACTGACTATTCTGTCAGTGGTCAACATGGGACAGAATGTGGGCAGACAGGCACACAAGCAAGAACTGAACTGACACAAGACTGAACTGATCACAAAGTTTCCCAGCAACATATGAAGATGACTCTGGGAAAAGGCATGCTAGTCTTACATAAACATTAGAGATAGGGCTGGGGATATAGCTCAGTGGTAGAGTGCTTGCCTAGTAGGTGTGAGGTCCTGGGTTCCATTCCTAGCACTATGGGGGATAAAATATATTAGGGACATAGCCAGGCATGGTGGCCCACACCTGTAATCCCATCACTCAGAAGGCTGAGGCAGGAGTTCAAGGCCAGCCTGGGCTACGTAGTGCATTCAAGGCAGCCTGAACTACATAATGAGGCCTTGTCTTTAAAAAAACAAAAAACAAAACAAAGGAAAATGGAACAGACACATTTCTGTCTTCAAAAATCTTCCTACCTAGTGGAGAAGACACCAATAAAAACCACACAAATAAAAACAAACAAGGACTATGATAAATGCTACAAAAGAAAAGCAGAGGTGCTGTCACGGTTTTTATCTAGATGTACCTCAAGAGCCTCATACAGTCAGAGGTGGGTTTTTTGGAAGGTGCCACAGCTGCTGTGCTGTTACGAGGAGGGGCCTGGATGGAGTAGGTCTCTAGGGCTGCCTGGAAGGGTGTATTTTCTCCTCGACTCTTCCCCTCTCTCTGCTTCCTGGTCACTATGACTTGAGCAGCTTTTCCTCCATTTTGCCCCTCTGCCATGCCATTTTCTGCCTTAGAGCCAGCCAAACATGCACTGCAACCATGAGTCAAAATAAACCTCTCCTCCTTTAAGTTATGGGTCATGAGTACTGTTTCAGCAATGAGAAAGTGACCAAGACAGGTGCTATGGAAACAAAGAGTAGGGCATGGGTTGGCAGGGATGACTGGGGCAGAGAAAGCTACCCTAGGGAAAAAGATAAATAGTTGAGAAAGGGAAAAGATTCTACAACAAAAGGAACAGCATATACAAAAGCTCTACAGTGGGAAGGAGTATTGGCTATTTAAGGAACTAAGAAAACCAGATGGGTAAGTGAAGCCAGGCAGAGTCGTGTGAGTTAAGACCAAAAAAGGCAGGGCCCACAAAGTCATGCTCCTGTGCTAACAGACTAGAATCCATCATCACTGGCAGATCCAGATAGAGTTTAAGCAAAGATGGCAAAACAATTAAATTCACCTTTAAAGGAACCCACTGCACCCGCCACAAGATGAACTGACTGAGAGGAACAAGAAGCAACTTGGAAAGACCAATGAGTGGCCACTTTAATGGAAAGGAAAGGCCGGAGGGAGGCAGTAAGGACAGATTTAAGGGACCGATGCAAAGGACACTGAAGAGACGGCATCAGCAGGACTCAGAAGCACACACGGCATGACGACATTCGTCTGTAACAGTCCTTGATGTTTTGGGGCAGCAGACATTTTATCACGAGTAACACACACTGCAGTGTGGAGGACTGAGTCCACCTCCCGCAGAGCGTCCTGGGAGCACCGCCCAGCCCACTGCCAGGGACACACGCACTCACTTGTACAGCAGGCTGGGGGCACTCACAGTCGCCCGGAACCCCTGCGCAGTCTGCTCCACCTCATATGCATCACAGGGCTCATCGGCACCCTCCATGGAGTCTGCAAAGAAGCCACAGCAACTCAGAAATGCACCGCTGTCCCTTGGACACCACTTTCTCCCCAGCTGTCAGCCTCAGTCAGCTTTAAAGTCCTGCACAGCACAGAGAACAGGCCCTGCCTATGCACTACACCCAAGCCCAAAGTAACTGCCCCAACAATATTTATAACCCACTCAGCTGTTCGGCTTATTTCTTAAAACTACTATATATTCTAATAAAGTTAGTTGTATTTTTGGAACTCTCATCTATGCAAAGAAGAAGAATAATACAATAATAACAGCCAGTATTATTGATCACTGTTCTAAATCCTTTATACATGTGCTTTTATTTCATAATATATACTGATAGCTAATTAAAATTACCCCTTGTAGCCAGGTGTGGTGGCACATGCTTGTAATCCCAGCACTTTGGAGGCTGAGGCAGGAAGATCACAATTTCAAGCCCACCATGGACAAATTAGCAATTTAAGGAAACCCCATCTCAAAATTTAAAAAGGGCTGAGGATATAGTTCACGCAAAGGTCTTGGTTCAATCCCCAGTATAGAAAATAAGCAAGAATAACAAAAAACAAAACACTTTGTCACTTTTACAGGTTTTGGGGGTCCTCCTGCCTCAGCCTCTTGAATGCTGGATTACAGGCTCATGTCGCCACACCCAGCCATTTAAATTTTTACACAAAGACAAAACACGATTTTCAAACTGCAGCCAAGAATGTCTCGGTCCCACTCTAACTCATCATTACCTTTGAACATCTACTTCCATTTCATCAACTGAAATATCAATTTCAGTGCTAACATTTCTGGAAATAGTGAAACAAAACAAACAATTGTCGCCACAATACAGAGGATGTTTTGCTTCTAATCTGACCAAAGAGCACCAGGATTACCTTGATAGAAATCCTCCTCATCTTCTTCATGTTGATAACTCTTTTCTTGGATAGGATTCTTCCTGTAATTTCTTCCATCAATTGTTACAATCTGTGGGCGCAGAACTTCCATTTCACTTTCTCCTAGTTAATGCTCTAGTGAAGTCCCAAAAAAAAAATTAGCATCTCACCCATGCGTAATCAGAAATAAAAACCCTATTCATGGGACCATTACATGGGCCTGAAAAGACATAGCTGGATATCAGTTTCCCACCACACTATTGCATCCTGGCTCTCTGGACAGTGAAATAAAGTTTAAACTCTCAATCTAGAGAAAGTGATTAAAAGACCTCTATCTACAATCTGTCCATGACTGTGAAAGAGAAAATGGAAGTGTCTTTATTAGTTTAACCTAAAAGGAATAAAGCTTCTGTGTTCATCTAAGCATTTGTGGTATGATCATTAAGACAATGAAAGATACTTACTACATATTCCATGAGGTGGAAAGGAGAAACCTAAGTATTTTTACAGGTGCTAGAAATACATGCCTCACAACCAGATACAGTTGCTTGTCCAAATAGTTGAAATAAGACTTTAACGAATGTGATTTTCAGATTAACACACTAAGGAAGAGAGTAGTCCAGCTTCTATAGGCCACTGCCCAACAAACTAAATCCCTTCCCAAGAAGACCAGCTTCCAGTCACTAGTAAATCAATAATTTAGGAGGCGCTAGGGATGTAGCTCAGAGATAAAGCCTAGGAGAGGCCATGTTCTCCACCCCCAGCGACACAAAATAATGCTGGAAGGATAATACTTTAGCAAACAATGAATCTTTATGGGCAAGCTATGGTTAAATTCTAGCATTGCTCCTACCACACAAGGTGTGATCCAAAAGTACTGTGAATGTTTACATAAAAATTTTATTACAGAGCCGGGGCTTTAGCTCAGTGGTTCCACCACCTGCCTTGCAAGCTCAAGGTCCCAAATTTGATCCCAGTACCAAAAAAAATGTATTACAGTAAAAGACACACTGCCATTTATCCTCCTTAAAAAACTCACCCTCACTTCAAACACTTATGCCATATTGTTGTATTTTTGTTGTTGTTTTGACAGGGTCTAACGCTATGTAGTTCAGGCTGATCTTTAACTCACCACATAGCCCAGGCTGGCCTTGAATTTACCTGCAATCCTCCTGTCACAGCCTCCCAAGTGCTGGGATTAGAGGTGTGCACCACCACACACACCTGGCTAGGAATGATTTTCACAGAAATTATTTCAAATGTTTTGAATCTTTTCAGGACATCGAGACAGCCACAAAAAGACACCAAAGAGGACTTTCAGAACTGCTTTAGGTAAGTGTGCTCAAAGCGAGGGGGAGTATTTTCAGAGGGATGTGTCTTTTATAGTAACACTTTTTCACTTTTAATTTAAATATCTGCCATATTTATCATACCACAGGGACTTGGGTAGTCTTGAAACTCTAAGTACTTAAGGGTTCCAAAGAAAACAGATCAACCCTTACTAAATACACTAATTCTCACCCCGACCCTCTGCAAGTCTCTTTAATTGGTAGTTTTTCTGCTTACAGAATCAGAGAGGTTTCCTGTTTAGAGAAATAACAAAGTAAATCTACTTGGAGAGGACCTAATTAGCAAGTCTAATGACATTACACGCTATTCCTCTATTCCCCAAACCCTTATCCTCTCTCTCCCAAGAAAGTCCCCCATAAAACTAGCCTTTAAAGTTGTTTTCAAAACGTAAGTTCTAGAGGGAAAAGTTAAATCACCTATTTTTCCTGCTCAGCTCTAGACCGAGACTGCTCAGAATTGTTAATTTAACTAACCCTGCTTCAAGGAGATTTGAAGAGAAAAACAATATTTTCCTGCAATATCGTGAGGGACTCTTATACTCTAAATCATAAACAAAAAACAAGAACACGACGACCGGGAATTTAGCTCAGTGGTTCCGCCGCCTGCCTCGCAAGCGCAAGGTTCCGAGTTGATCCCCGGTACAAAAAAAAAAAAAAAA